TGCATGGGCATAGGAAATTTTTCGTCGTTAAGCACATGCGCCGTGAAATACCATGAGCAATAGTGTGTCTGTTATAGAGTGTCGGGATCAATACCCACCCGATGCCCCACGCAACCCTATATGATCATTGGAAGACAGGTATGAGCCCACGTAGCTTGCGAAGACCTTCCTGAGGCGACATAATCATTCGGATGCCACCGGTTCCGAGGCACCTTCAAGGAGGGATTTTATTCTGATCATCTTGCTTGGGTGGAGAGGCTGTGCGGTGTGTGATGAGGCTGATGTGGTGTCGGGCGTTCTTCTCGTTCGAGAGGTTTTGCGTGCATCTTCATCTCAATGACTCGCTTCTTCCAGGTCATGACGGGTGCACTTCGGTGCCAAAATCAAGGACAGCGTGGGGAATGCGCCATCGCTTTCTTACCATATTCAGGAGTTCACGATGGCGGTGTTGAGGTTGCGGCTGAGCTTTGCTGTGGATATGCCATACCTAAACCCTCATTGGTGGCAGCAGGAAATGTTAGATGCAAGCTGCAGTCTTGACACCTTCTGCTTTGGTCGCACCAATGACAGCAAGACAGACACAAGCATTCTCTCCCCGCTGTAGATCAGGAGATATCGAAAAAGCAATACGACATCTGCGACACATCGCGCATCTTACGCAGCCATCACAAGTAGTTCCAAAGATATGGTCCAATTCCTCGCACAGGCAGCCGAACAAAGTATCCGCCGCTATGTGTGCTTCCTCTGGGCCACTACACCACCGTCGGTTCGTGGCCCTGGCGTCGCACGCTTGACTGATAGTGATAGCCCACGTGCAAGTTGCGCAGTTTAGCCGGCAGAACGACAGCGCCAGGCGCTATGTTCCAGCTGCAGGTACCTACCGTCTTGCACGGCATGGCGGCAAAGCCGCGCGCTCACAAACTCGGGCCCTGGGTACCCTTGGCCCAAGTGACATTGAAGAGTTCTGGGCATACAACCTTGCGTGTGATCTTGCCGCAGGCTTCAACAAAGAAGGATGACCCTTGAGTTTGCTATAAAGATAGGTAGCGGGTTAAGCGACGAGATACATATGGGTTGCGGATGATGCCTCTTTGGTCGTGGCTTGTAATGAAAGTCTCATTTCGGTTGCAGGATGGGCGCGAAGATCATGACGACCACGGGCTCAGGAGCCGAGCCTTTCTTCGGCATGGGAAGTCTTTGTAAGAAGTATAGCATAAGAAAATTGAGACACAGTACTTGGATTCTGCAGAATTCGAAATGTTGTCGTCAGACAGGTCCCTTGACGGTACGATCCTTCTAGCTGTCGCACTTGGAATGGTTCTGCGAGCATCGGGGACGGCTACAGTGACGACCCTCAAATGCAAAATATGATTCGGAGAGTTTTCGACGTATGCCGCTAGTTGTATAGGCTTTGATCGCTCTGATGAGTCCAGATGATGCACCATCATGGCACTACCAGTCCACTACGACTAGTTACATTATAATAGCGGAGCAAACTGCAAGCCTCAGTCGACGGCTCTCATGTCATTGTAACGAATGTGCATGGGGGCGTTGAACTCGTTGTTCGACCAGATTCAACCAGATTTGATGTGTTTCAAGAAGGTCCGGTGAAGGCCCTCAAGCGCTATTGGCGGTCATCGAAATGGCCCCGCGATGAAGCATCGGAGATGATTAATAGTGAATGACCTGGCACGCTGGCGACCAAGCAACCGTTCTTGCCAAGGAACACGTCGGTGCGTTTGCGCTATAATGCCCGGTTTTGCTGCACAAAGGCCGTCGGTGCCAGGGTTATGCGATAGTCAGGAACGCTCGACTTCTAGCCTATAACCCAGTTGGTTGTGTCGACCAGTAGTTTTCAGTATCGCGAACGCTCCAGATGTCGGCATTGAAACTTGTTTCGTGCAGGAGCGAGTCGAGGTGGTGACGAGCTACAGCTGCTATGGGCTTGGGAACGCACACCATCAGAATCTGGATGCTCTCCGTCGAGGGCTAAGATAAAGAACCTTGAAAGGAAGCTATCGCGGGACGCACCTAAAGCCCGACACGGGATTGGCCAGTGCCTGGAAGGGAGCGATGCTAATTGCAGTTGGTGGGGTTTGATAGATCGACGTCGTGTCAGTGCCCCTGCTTGCTCCAAGCGAAGTTTCCGACCGACACACGCCCCTTCAGGCAAACTGAGCGTTTGCTTGTCTCACTCGTACTCCGCCCTCTAGCGATGCAAGGAGAATTTCGAAAAAGAAAAGACTTCCTTCCGGGGTAGAGCTGAGGGGCACGCACGAACGGGTGCGCTGTTGCATTCGCTATCAAGCCCTCGGTGTCAAGTTGCTGAGGCTGAAGTGACTTCTGCCTCTGGATTCGTTGTGAGATCATGGTGTGCTGTCAAACACCAACATCGTGCTGACCTTAACGACGCCACGCTGCCCGCTTCACGGCTCTGGAATGGCATATACTGGACGGGAGTGTCAGGCCCCTGCTGCAGGCACGGTGGAATTGCCTATCCCGGTACTTGCGCCATCGCCAACGGCGGGGGGTCGTTCCAAGGTCGTCGAAATTAGCCCATCATGGATTACTCTTAGTGCACTGCTCACCGATATTTCCATGAGTCTGCCGTACTAACAAACTTCGCAACCCACCATCAGGTACGCTATTGTACCTGCATGTCGCCTCAAGCCAAGCTTGTCCGGTCTCTATAACCCGCAACACTCCTCTCACTCGGTGCGCCATCGTTGCTCTCTACCGAAGGACCGTTCTTTGTGCTGCCTCGTTTTGTGGCGCTAGGTGCATACCATCATTCCCTACTACGGTGCTGTGGAGCGAGGGTAGACGCATGACCCAGGTCTCCGCTCTTTGCTTCCCGCACTACTTTATCCGCATCACCCTCCAAGGTTCATATCAGACAGGAGTGGGCTCAAGATTACTACCATCGTTTCGTCGACCGCCACCTTTCTGGAGTAGCCGCATCAACCGCAGCCACAGCCAGCATGGTTGTTATCTGATCAACGTCACTCTCTCGTATATTCCTTTTGGATCTTCCTTCCAATACACCATCAGGGTCTGCTCAACATAGCGACAACGACGATCGCAGCAGTCTTTGAGCACTTATCATCAACACTCCCGTTCAGCATTTACACTTGACATACACACCACCATCGCAATCATGGAGCAAGAAACCAAAGTCTGGATCATTCTCGGGGCCGTGGCAGGCACTCTCGTTCTGACGGCCGTTGCCGTTGCCGTTCTCTTCTGTTGGAAGAGATCTCAAAGAAGGATGCGAGGCTTCTCCCTGCGAGCAGTCACACCACTGGACGATGCCGAGTTTGAATCCTGGAGACGACCCAGCCAATATACCCAACGACCGGAGAAGTACGGCATCAGACCAGCTGTCTTACGGGAACATGTATCTCCCAGAGTCACTACCATGTTCGAGAAGGAGCTCAGCACATACGAGTTCCCTCCACGAACACCGTCATTAACCGACATGGCTTCACTAAAGTCACCCACCAGTTCAATACGAAAGCCTGAGCGTGCACGAAGGAAGTCTAGTGTAGCCTCTTCTATCGCAGACCGACCTCCAACGCCTTACTCACCATGTTCACCAAGCGGCGAGTTCAACCGGGGCTCCACATCTTCACATCGGTCTCAACCTTTAATACATTATCCATCCGTCGATGAAACATCTGCTTTCCGATTCAACTTCGAATCAGAGTACGGCACTCAACAGAAAGGTGATGGACGCTGGATTTAAATGCCAGTGTCACTCGATATCACTCAACTCATCAAGTCATATCCAACCTCCAAACATGTCCACTCGAAGTGGCCATATATACCGCCGGCAGCCTGCCTAATGCACTCAAAGTGAGTGATACATGACTGACATCTGTCTGTGTCACAACGCACCGCTTTCTGTTGTACACCCATCGAGACTGTTGCGGTACCAGTCAACACTTCGCTTTTACGACCTTCGCTTCGCATACATATTTTACGATTGGGCATGATTCTGTCTTTTGGGTTTTGGCGTTTGGCGGCGCATTGCATATATGATACCAGACCTTTGTGTCACTACACAGGCCTTGAGCCTCTTTGTTCCTTTCTGTTGGAGAATGCAGCAAGTCGATGCCGAAGATGGCACAGGAAGGGATCTAGTAGATAGCCAAACATGTACCTGGGTATGCAGTTGTAGCACTGCGAGAGGCTAGTCCTTTCTGCCCAGAAGAAAGAATGAACACATTACCACCTGACATTTTACCAGTACTGCAGTGATGTTCCTTCATTGCGCAATCTGCCCTGCAAGGCACCACGGATCACGACATCAGTCCAAGCGGCATCTCGGCAACGACCGTTTCCCCCGACGGCACGAGTGGTGCATGGAAGACAAAAAAAAACGTGGTCTACACCGCCAGTTCCAAGACCCCAGAATTTGCAATACTTAGATCTGAAACTCTGCTCTGCCGCGATCTCCACTCGACTCCACATAAGCTATCGAAAAGCGACGGGACGCGATTCATACACGATCGCGCTTCCCGCGCACAAGAAGTTCACCGCATCATCAGACCGGGTGTACCCCGCGACATGTCGCGCAGTGGTGGTGCAGATGGGGCTGAAATGCAAGACGCAGGGTGGTGGAGTATGATCGTCGGTGTATGTTACTTTTGCGCATCATGAGTGGATTCTGGTGGGAGGAGGTGGGTGACTAAGCTAGCGAGCCGAGCGGATGACGTGCAGCCAGGATTAGGTGTGTTGAGCTGCATGGCTTGTGTGAAAGCGTTTTAGTGGGTCAACGTGGACAGCTGTCACCGCAACCGTGTGCAAACAGGCAAAATATTAGCCACACGACAACAAGCCCATCGCGTGCTCGTCTTTCCCATCTACCACGCGTCGCTCCAGTCATCCGCTACCCGCGCGCAGATCCGTCCCAAGCGCGAACTCGCCTTTTGCACCCCACAACGCGTCCATCGCGTCTGGCACACGACACCTGCACGTCCAATCGCAAACTGCCCAGAATGGACTTTATACAAGGTAAGCCTCGACGATATACTTGTTGTCATCTTCTTGCGTCGCAATGCACTATGCTAACATGTACTGCCAGACTACGCAGCGCTTATCCCGCGCTTCCTCCCACCCTCCTTTGCAAGCCCCCTCCTCCAACTCCTCACAACCTTCTTCGGCATCTCGCGCACCCTGACCACGCACCTCTCGCCTCTCCTCAACAAACTCATCACACAGCCCGATGTCGCCTCCATCCTCGCCCTGCTCGCCATATTCTTCATCTCGCTCAAGATCCTGGACATGATGTACCGAGCCGTCATCTTCTGGGTAAACCTGGCTTTGCGCCTGGTTTTCTGGGGCGGGATTCTCGTCGTGGGCTTCTGGGTATACAACAGGGGGCCTTAGGGCTTTGTGGAAGATGTGCAAGGCTTGGTCGAATACTGGCTGGGACAGTATGAGATGTACAGTCAAGAGGTCAAGGGATTCCAACAGCAGAAGGAGGATCAAATCAGGATGAAAGCGAGTGCGCAACAGCAGCAGAAGAGAAGGGGGTGGCGGTAAAGATGGTGTAGAATGGACTGCAGAGCATGTATCTACAAAGAGACTGGATTCGGATGTTGGTCAATATTTCGACTCCTTTCTACATATATGGTTATGGCGCCTGGGTATGTTGAAAAGTATAGGACTGGCTCTGGCATCTGTTGGCCTCGCACCCACCGTTGGACTGTTTGGGACAACAAGTTGTATATGTTTGAGCTTCACGAATAATGGTATCCATGATAGTATTCCTTACTTGATCCCAAAACTGAGCCATACTGTGCTGCCAATGGTACTATTTAGTACGCATAAAAACACGCGAGATCACATGGACAAGGCCAGTCGCGGTCTATCGACCGATGGCTACGTCTCACATCTCCTACGCGAGATATTACGAATGATCTTTGACTTTGTATTTGTCTAATCGTAAGCATACCCCATCAACTCCGTCCATTGAAGCTCAAGAAGAACGGCATCCCCACCATCGTCGTCAACATGCACTCCGCTGTCACCACACTCCGCTACACTGGTTCCTTTCCATAAAGTGTGATCAAATCATTGCTCGACTTCGATGGAGATATCACCATTCTTGACCTACGATCAAATTGTGCAAGGGCACAAAGTTCCACATGATTTTCCTAGATGACTTGTCCAAGACGAGGTGTTTGGAAGGGCATATCCTATGTAGCAGTGCATTAAGACTTGTCGTAGTGAATTGAAGACACAAGGCCTTGGTGCCCAAGCCAAGCAACCAATGACGTCGCAAAGTCCCCGCAGACCTCCATCAACGCGTTCCCAACTATCAATGTTCCACACGCGCAACGCAACACAAGCCTACATTCTCGCATCCTATGCAAATTTAACATTACCACCATATTTAAACATGGCTGCAACATCCCCCTATCCTGCCTCAACGCCCACACCAACACCTTCCACAGCAACCACCCTCACGAACCCGAGCTTTGTGTTCCCACCTCAATACTCCTTCCCGCCCTTCTTCACCCTCCAGCCCGTTGCCAGCACACGCTCCTCACAACTGGCTTCCTGGTCCATCCTCATCCAGTCCTACTGCCGCCACAACCGCATCTTTACCATCTCCCTCATCGATGCGCTCCCAACCCCTCTCTTCACAAACGCGACCCTTCGCAGGAGCCTCTCCCTACGCGATGCAAAAGCCATCCTCACATACATGGCCTCACCCGAAGGCGGAAATCGAGCTGAATTCATAAGTACAAGCTCGTCTAAGAAGGGAATAAAGCCGGGAGAAGAGGGTGAAGGAGGCAAGGCGTGGATATATTGGCGGAGACCTGAGGAGTGGGCTGCGGCGTTGGAGGAATGGGTGGAGAGGACGGGACAAAAGGGCACGGTACTCACGTTGTACGAGATTGTCGAAGGGGACGTGAGCCGTAGGGAAGAGTTTTATGGAATGGATATGGACCTGTTGCAAAAGAGTTTGGGGGTTTGCGTGAAGAGGGGGAAGGCGCAGGTTTTTGGGTCTGGAGGTGAGGGAGAGGGTGTCAAATTCTTCTAGGACATGTCCTTGCGTGGCTGCTGGATTGACGAGGCGTGTCATATGTCAGCAAGGAAGACGCGGCAAAGAATGAGGAGTGTGGAGATGAGGACATGGCGTTGAATGATACCCAATCGTGTTTCTGGACATGATACTATAAGGCATAGGCTAGAGCTTACACTGCAATAGACTTCAAAAAAAAACACTCTGAGATATCCGAGAAACCGGAAAATCTCAGCTACTATACTCATCCATTCCCAATTTAGGCTTACAGTGTCCTCATACAACCACCTATGTAACACCAGCGGTTTCCGACACGCATCTGTCAAAGCAAACGTCGGCTCTCTCCCCCATCAGCGGCATCTAGCCACACCCTCACCCACTTGGCTGTCATATTATTCTCACACTTATCCAGCTAGATTAGTATATCGGGCCTAATCTTCTCTGTCTCAGAGACAGTAGATTAAGTAGAACAAACCCGAATTATCTCATCTGAGAGGTATTTCTTTAGGCACGTCGCGTAGTAGTGTTTCAATTCTATTCTGTATACTTCCGAGGTGGTGTTGGTGGTGTTTCCAGGAGGAGCGGCGCGGACAAATTCTCTGAGAAACTGGGGTAGCTTGATAGCGGTGTAGGTAGGAAGCGTGGTTACGCGTTCCTAGTCTGCTATTGAGACTAGACTACCTCTAGTAATGACTAGTACGTTTGAGATGCTCATGTCGCAGTTACAAAGGGTCGTGTGTTCTGCTGAAATGCTGTCGTCTGAAAAGAGCCACAGAGTTACAGTTTCTAGGCTGGAGTATACGGCTTGAATATCGCAGTGATGCTCTGTGTCGTCATCATCCTCCTGATCGAAATTGTGTACGAAGTGCTTGAAGATTTGGTGACGAGCGGAGAGGTACTCATGACTTAGAAAATGTCGTCGTTTTTGAAGAATGCAGGTTGAACGATCTCGCCCACGGTATATATGGAGTATGAATCAGCATAGGGATGAGACTTGTTGACGAGCGTTAGACTGCAATGTCTGAAAGCTCGATATTGAAGGATTGTAACATGTATCCTACATCTTCCTGAATTAGTAAGCCCTTCTCCATCATGACAATCCATGCCAGGTTTCGTGTAATGGTGTGCATCCACCCATTCTATCACAGTCCACTCAAAACCCAGCTCATTCGAGGGATCTGCATTGTGTGTAACGATTCGCGGTACTAGGACTTCAGTTTTATCCCGAACGAATGCCTAAGTGGCGACTTCACTGTTGATCCTAACGGCTGGTGCGACCGGCAGGCTAACGCGGAAGATAACGAGATACTTGGTGCATTCAATAGCGAAAAGCTTGCTAGAGGCGCCCTCTGCAAAGATTTCCACGACGCCAAGGTTATTTCTAGGTGACGTAGTAGCTCGCATGCTTTGGCGTATCACGATAGAAGTTCATGGCGTTTCACTCTTATAGTGTGGGTAGGTCATGCCCAGGTAGACGTTGATGTAGTACCTGACTATGTAGGGTTGGCGACGCGTAGGTGATCGAGTAGAACGGTTTTGTATAGACTGAGCTCCGGCAGTTGAGTTGGCCTGAATCGCATTGACCATATCCCAGCAAGGCCTGTAGTTCAAACAGGCAACGTCAGATGCCCCGAGCCTGAGAGTTCTGGATACCATGACGCCGCAGAGTATTACAAATCGCGATTGAGAACAAGGAAACCATGTAGAATGACACGATGACGGATTGGGTGATGGAGAGATGGGTGAAGGCCTGGACTCTAGAAGTGTATACCCACATAGGTCTTTGAGGAATGAAATGTTGTAAATAACGAAGACAGAGTCTCAGTCGAAGGCCAAGGGAGAGGAATGGATGTAGTTTGGAAATGCTTACAGCCTATTGTACGACTCCAGGAATGGCATGTTCAGAGTCAAAGTCAACCCTCAATGTTGGTGCCGATGAAATCTACAAGATGCAACGTGCTTCTCCACATGGTGGGCTGGGTACTAAGGATTGAACAGGATGTGGATGCAGATCGGGGCAGAGATCGTCGCAGGCTCGTTGCTCACAAACAATGGTTCAGGGAGGGGAGCGGGCCGCTAGCTAGTCTGGAGAGGGAAAGGGCCGAGGGTCAACGGGCGTTGCGCAGAAGAAGTGCAGTAAACAGAAGCACGGAAGACGCTAAGGACGAGGCTGGAGGATCTGCAAGCTCCATGCGCGGTTCGAAACGCGCATAACCACGTCGCATGGACGAAGCGATGGTAGTACTGAGGTGGGACGGTCTCAGGCACAAGCTCGACGTTATGCGCTGCAACATAGCAAGGCCAGCCGAAGCGGACCGGTTGCGCGGTGAAGGCAGTAGTTGTATATTGAAACAGCGGACTAGTACATGAGGAGGGCTAGCGCATGCAGTCAGACGCTATACCGCATACGCAGTGCTGCAAGCCAGCAAAAGGCCCAGGTGGAGAGCTGCGAGCTCCCGTCGACACGTTGCACACAGTGGGTATGCAGTGGATATGCAGTGGGTCGGTGATGAGGATGGTGTATAGCATGACAGTGTTAACCCTCATCACTCGACCAGCTGGAGTCGTAATCCGCAGCCAGGAACCTGAGACGAAAAGCATCGGAGAGATAATTTTAGGCCAGGTACAGACTTCGCGCTCATTTCCCGCCGGCAGGGTCGGGCCAATCAACGCCTAGGCAGAGCTGACCCTGGCGCCCAAGGAAGGAGCTAGCCGACACGGTAGCTTCGCTGTTCGTGCGTGTTGACCATCCCCCAAGGCTCAAGCGCGTGCCTTCCTCTCTCCACTGTAGAGACCCATCGCAGCTTCCCTACCCAGTACGCTCTTTCTGCCGCTGCGAGCCAGGCTCTCTCCTTCCTTTCTTAGACCGGCACGCAATCGATACGGTCTCTATTTTCTAATACTCTTGCGTCGACGACAACTACATAGATATACACCGCCCGACGCCCTATCTACATGTCGCGAATGGACTTTTGAAGCTGCGCGTCTCCTACTGGCCCGTCATCGTCGACAACTTTACTCCACCACGGCCACATCCTAGGACTGGAATTATCGACAAGTCATACAGCTTCTACGCGTACCAATATCATCAGCATGCGCCCGTGCCTGTGCTGCGACAATGCTCGCGCTACCACCTCCTGTTCCCAAAAGCAATCACGTTCTGGCACAAAAAGGGCTCTCGTCTTTGCGGTTTTTGTTGCTGCTGCTGCCTCTGTACCACAAACCATGGCCCAGCAAAGTTGCGTATCGCTCCGGGGCTCGACAGCCTGTCCGGCCTTCAGTTCTGCATCCGTCGATACAAATTTGACCGGCAACTTGTACGTCCAACGTGACTGGATATATCGAGTGGTGACTAACCTTGGTCGCAAACAGTCCTTTCCTCCAATACGTGTCTGACACCCAGTCGTTCGACGAAGGTTTGGTCAACTATATTGGCACCGGATACGCGCAGCGACAGTTAGTCTAGTCCTAGTCGTGCCACACGACTGCTCAATGCCACCAGTAGACTAACACACCTCAGGTACGAAGACATATTGGGATGCTCAAGCGTCAACCTCACTAGCACCACCAATCTCTATGCTCGTTACACAAGAACAGTCCTCTGTAACCTCATCATCCAATCTTCTAGGACTGCATGCGGACTCAGCGACACGGACGCAACTCCGCTCTGCGCAGGTGCTTGCGTACGTAACTATCCTCCCGAAATTACACCGTATCGTAAGGCTGACAGACGCAGGCCGATTTTGCTATCAGCGAACAAGTAATCGTATCAAGCCCGGACCTGTGCGGTACACCTGGTAACAATGCAGTTCCGGAAATTCGTTCCGACTTCGCTCGCTGCTCCAACCCTGCCAGCTCGCTCAGCAGTAACTGCATCGATGCAACCAAAAACGAGCCCGACGAATGTGGATATCAAGGTAACCTCCAGGGATTGTGCCTCTTCTGTGGCTCAAGTACCGTCAACTCCACAGATTCTTGCTGCGTCAATGCGAACGTTGAGTCGCGCTGCGTAGGTGTCGATCTGCCCACAACTGTTTCGATGCCTCCAGTATTCCCCTCGAGCACTTCATCTGGATCTCCAAGCTCCACAGCAGGCGCAGGATCTGGGGGACGCGATTCCGGTTCTGGTCTTTCTGGAGGTGCCATTGCTGGCATCGTTATAGGATCACTCATCGGCGCCGCCCTAATCATTGCAGCTATTGCCTTCTGCTGCATGCGAAGGCGGCACCAAAAGAATAGCCAGGCTGGTAGCGTCTTCAACACGCCATCCCCTTCGCGACACCAATCACCCAAGGCGGGCATTATTCCACCCATGAGCTATGGGGGCGACGGTCAAACGCCCGCTACTATCCTCCCAGGCGCCCGTGTTCAACGTATGTCGGCCTTGGAAGGGTCGTCATCCTCAGGCCCCAGTGATCGAGGCGATCGTATGACTGCATACGGTGGCTCTCAACTCGGTCCCTATGATTCACCCGAATCCATCCGTGGCCATCTTGCTGGTAACCTTCCTAAACGACAAGGTTCTTTATCGAGCCACTCCGCTCTAGGAGCAAGCTCGTCACCACTCTCTGGATCTGATCAGACGCGTAACTTCTCGAGTCCAGATGGTGTCGCTTCCGGCCAGTCTGAGCAGTTGCAATTTTTCAAAGACTACTACTCTCAGGACGATATTCATCCGAACGATACTGTCGCCACTCTCTGGGCCTACCAACCTCGTGCCGGTGACGAGTTCGAGCTTGAAAGAGGAGATATGCTCAAGGTTGTCGGTATATGGGATGATGGTTGGGCGACAGGTGTAAGACTCTCCGAGACGGCAGAGCAGTGGGAGGCACGAAAGGCCGAGCAGCGTGACTCGGGTGTGAGCAACGGAGGCCGACGGTCACCTGTTGAATCTGACAATGAGATCAAGGCTTTTCCTCTAGTCTGCGTGTGCTTGCCACAGCACTGGAGGAAGACCATCGAAGGCGACAGCACAGACTCTGGCGGACATGGGAGTGGAGGTGACCGCATACCTCCAAGCCCTTAAGATGTCTTGAAAGCCTGGTCTGTTAACGCTCCATAGTTGCTTCCTCGCCATCCCCTACCTCAAATCGCCCGCCGCCTTACATACGGTACGGCAAGAGCAAGAGTTGTGTCGCATCCGCACCACCTTCTTCTTCGGTAACACGGCCACTACTCGCGAGCACACCAGACGTCCACTCCCTAGGGTCTAGTACCCTCATCAGCTCCGAATCCGTCCACAAATAGTAATGTCGCCACGATGATGTTTTTTTACGCGTTGTTTGTTTTTTCGACTTTGGTTCTTGGGTCTCCCGATGATCGGTCCTCCCTACCCCTCTAGGGGTCCTCGTCCCCCGAGCCCTTCGGACCATCGACACGTCACGACCTCTAGAACCCTTCTGCTATTTCACGATCTGCGCGAACCATAGACTGCCTTCGGGCCTAGTGTCTAATACGCTCCTTCACCGCCTGATTGCGCAACCTCGCGCAAAATACCCTTCGACGTCCCAGTAATCACGCCACACGCACACACCCTGGTACACACGACCCTGACATACCTCCGGCTGATTGACTTTGTCTGTTCTATACCCCGCCGCATCACCCATGCGACGCAGCCTTTTCTTTCTTGTTGACTGTTTTTGAGCGAGAGAGCGATGGAAGTGATATTGTATATATGACCTTGCTTCCATGCTACTCGAGGAAAAAAAGGCTAATGCTCTATCTTGATTACATTTCTACGATATCCCGCCTGTTGAGTAGAAGGGGGTTTTGTTGAGTCGGATGGCGGCTTTGCTGTTTGGATAGTGAGGAGAGAGATGGAGTTGGTGAAGATGGTTGCTTGCGTTTGAATAACTAGGTACGGCAATGGAAACTACGGAACATATGACTTTAGTCCTCCAGGTAGTGAGTGCTTTGTGCAGTGTTCACCATGGTAAGCATCTTGCCACAGTCCAGTTCGACCTGTCACCAGAGTACTAGAACACCAACATTCATGACTCATCGTCCTTAATGGCTCGGTTTATTCCTCAGATCTATTCATCCTGAAATACTCAAGCGCCGCCACACCCCTTTCCCCTTCTTTTCTCAAATCCAAGATATCGGTACTCTGTCTAAATTTGTCTGCCCTGAAACACGCATCGCTGTCACTATACCAGGCATACACCTATAGCATAAATCCCCGTCATCCCGGTTCCAAACCGTTTCTTCGCTTCCAAATTTCCGAGGATGCACTAGCCCACGCATGTTGTATGATCTTCACGTAGCTGGTATGGTAGTACTAACAGCGCAGGCTTATGCCGCTATATTTGAGCGGCGTTGTAGCAAACATGAAGTTGAGCAAGATAATGGTTGGTAGATAATTGTTATATATACTGGTATCATGCTTATCCTAATGCTGTTCATGATAGTACCCTAAAGGGAGTGTTCGTCGGCAATCCGTAAATTCGTGTCCAAACATGACGTTCTCATAAACGCGTCATAAAAGAGTTGCCCAAAGGCACCACGCCTCACTTTCGGTGTTATCTGTTCACCGAAGTGTGTCATCTACGCTCTGCCCTTCCTCCTACCGGCCTTTCCTAGGCCACCATCTTCGTTTCGCTTATGCCAGTCGTCGATCTCACGCCGTACACCTTCGCGGTAGGACTTGTACTCTTCGCTGGTTTCTACCAGGAGTTGCGGGCAGTGACTCGAACGACGCAAGTGCCGCTTCAAGTTCTCCCAGCGGCAGTCGGGCTTGAATGTGCAGTTTGGGTGGGGACATCTGTATGGTCGTAGCGTCTGTAGATATCGTTAGTAAAAGTAGTTCTAGTGTTGTTAATCTATGCTTACTTGGTGTGTCCTCTCATGCTTGCTCAAATTACTCGAGTCGGCGCATGTAAACTCGCAGAACCGACATTTATGCGGCTTCTTACCCTCGTGTAGCGCACTGATGTGTGTTTGTAGTTGTGTATGTGTCGTTGTTGTGTAACCGCAACGGTCACATACATATGGCCTCTCGCCTGTGTGTGTTCTCTCGTGGTTGTCCTTTGCTTGGTTGGTGGCAAACGTCTTCTCGCATCCCTCGTAGCTGCAAGCATATGGGCGATAACCCGCGTGACCAAGAAGGTGACGAGACAGCTTGGAGCGCTGCTTGAAATCTTTAGAGTGTGCTTCGCAACCTTCCCATTGACAGAAGCAGTGTGTGCAGTTGTCTACGTGTCCGGTCTTGATATGTCTGTGAAGGGCTTCGGGGGCGTCGAAGACGGCGAGGCAGAGGACACCGGGTGCATGTTGCCTGGGAGGTGTCAATTAGCTTACAGTCCTCATACCATCGCAAAGGCTTCATAGATTGAGATGATCTCGGCAGTAAAGGGTTGCTCCAGACCGACGTACCATTTACATATACACGCTTGAGCTTCAGTTTGAGCTCTAGCAGCAGAAGCCGAGCTCGAAACTGTCAAATCCGATGTGCTTGGCCGCAAGATCTCGCTCTGGACCGCCGAAGCGAGGAAGTCGAGTTTGTTTGCACCAGTGAATGAGCTCGCTGGTTGGAAAGTGTTTGAGAACGCCGAATCTGTCAGCATCCACGACTGATCGTGGAATGTCTGGTCGTTGAAATCCATCATGGGAGAGTTCAGGCTGAACGGGTTCGATGAGTGTAGAGAGTTACGATCGGCTGAAACAGGGCTCGTTGGTAGGCTTGGATTGAAGCCAAAGTTCATAAAATTTGACGCCAAACCGTTGCCTGGTGCTATTGAAGAGTTCCAAAGCTCAAGCTGTTGTTGCGACGCAGACGGAGCATCACCACAGGCTCTTTGAGATCCATGACAACACGAGTTATCGATGTGACAGTGATCACCGGCGACGTCGAGGTAACAGTGTGGTGGGAAGATCGTTTGTCCAGGCCCCGGTGACGGCTCAGTGGTGAATGCACTTTCCAGCGAAGTGTAGTTGCTGTGCGACAAAGCTGGTGTTGGAGCGCTTGACGCTATCGTGGTCAGGTCATCCGCGATGGTATTGTACCCGTGAGTTTGGGAGAAGCAAGGATATGTCTCAAACGAAGATAACCCATCATCTTGTCCGTGAAAGCCTTCTTGAAAATGGCAAGGCGCAGAGTCGTAACAGTACACAGTACCGACGGACGTAGGAGCGGAATGAGCGAAGTGACACTCGTGCTGCGTGCCAGGCAGAGCGAAGGGTTGAGCGTTGCACTTCTGACAGCAGCATACCTGATCTGGACAAGCGATCTTTGTACACTGGGGATCTATACAATCGTCTGTACAATGCTCATCTTTCTGAGTACACCGTGGGTCGAAACAAGCGTCGTCTTCGGGGCAGTCTGCGGGGCAGACATCGGGACAGTTGTCGTCAGGGCAAGGGGCTGGTGGACAGGATGGCTCCAGATTGCATTCCTGACAGAATTTCTCGAAGCAGTCATCTGGAAAAGAACAATCCGTATCAAGACCGGTGTGTGATTCGGTGGTGAGTTCGTGATACTCGGCCACCTTTAGGGCGGAGGCCCTCCGCTTAGTTGAACGCACGTCGCATGTTTCTGGGCAGCGAGTGCAACACAAGCTTGGATCAACGGGTTGAGTACCATGTTCAAGCTGAGACGGGGTTGATTGGCCCCGGGTTCGTGCGGCGTCATCTTTCAGATTGTCTGCAGCACGCTTGGTCCCAGTCACTGGTGCGCCCAAAGAAAACATCGGATTTGTAGTCCAGAAGTCGTCGTCGTCTCCAAAAGCTGAATCGCGATCGCAATCTGCACAGTTATTAGCCATTTTTGCGTGCTTTGGGAGTTTCAGAGCGTGTGTTCCTGACGATATCGAAAAGTCAAGGCGGAGGCCATCACGGTTCTCAGACGTGGGAAAGCACGATGGCGTAATCAGAATGCCAGGTAAGGTGCGAGGGGTGAGTGAAAAGAAAAACATACAATCAATCATGCCTTTGAGGGGTCTACCCTGACAACTCTACAACATCAACCACGAGTGAAAGGAACGAACTGGCTGAGAAGGTGAAGGTATGCGCTTGAGAAGAGTGAATGGAGCCTAACCAGATGCGTAAAAGTGTATATCCAACTCCTGCTCTCTGATTGGCCTTTCGCTCCAAGTCACGACTGTCATGTGTATCGTCCTTGTTCCGAATCCTGGCGTCCCCGGATACAGACAACGAGGCTATGAATGACTGCGAGGCGTTGTTGTTAATGTCTGGTAGTATTCCGACTTGTATCGGCGTACGTGCGGCCACTCACACACCGGTGTCGTTGTGTGCGATCGGCCAAAGAAGCCTCCATCCACGGGATACGGAAGAACTCATTGCGCTACCGCTCTAGTGTACCCACCCACGGAGTGCTTGACGTTTGTGGTCATCGTCATGTGTAGCCGTCACAAACGCGACGGGATTGTAGAGAAGATATCAGAGAAGCTAAAAAGCTGCAGTGTTTGACGCACAGTTGCACCCTGCCTGAAGATGCCGTAGCCGGTATCCGAGAGACGGGTACTTGGCGCCAATCCCACGCGTCGCAATGCACCTTCCCCGCCACGAGGCTGACGTCTTGTCCGCAACCTTCCCTTGCACTTTGAACCTGGACCCTACCTCCGCACAGCCACAGTAGCTATCACTACAACCGTCGTCACCAAACTTCCTTCGTCCCAACTTCCTACAGCTTCAGCTCCAGAGCTACAGATGGGTAATCTCTGCGGCAAACAGTCAAAAGACAACTTCGCAGGCAATGGGCGCACACTTGAATCTGCGCCTACGCCTGCGACCAGAGCATCTATTCCGAACAATGTTGCACCACCAAAGCCAAAGGTCGGTGGACCACCACGAACGCTAGGAGATAGCAACAGGCAAGATGATCCGAAAGCTGCGGCTGCGGCTGCTGCAGAGGTACGCACCTATAACCTTAACATCTGACGGAGCAAGAGCAAAGAAAGGGCCACGCGACTCTTGACCACAATCGCTGACATAGCTCTCAGGCCCGCGCGAACAAGGCTTCATCAGGCGACCTCCAGAAGAAGCTCGATGCACAAAAACGCCAAACGAACAACCAGACTCTGCAGCAAGCCGCCAACGAGAACCGCCTAGCACGAGAAGCTGACCAAGCGACCGAGACGAGAAACTACAACTGAGCAGTTGAATGAGCAAAGGGAGCGTATAATAGGCGAGAAGCGAGGGAAGGGTCTTTGTATATACCAGCACGCGTTACATTTTCACGATTCACGACATTGATGACCATCCATGAGGTGGTTCATCATGCATGAGCATGGCGTTGGGGGAGTAAGCCTTGCTTAGACTTTATTGTTGCCTAGCAGTAGTCTGCGATAATAGCGTAACATGCATTTTTTCGAGCATTCGCTCCGATCAGCCACTGAACCATGTCTTTTATATCGATTCTACTTTCAACGTGCCGTGTTTGGTTGTCAGAGCCGAGAATCATTCGAGTATCCCTCTATCAAATGTTACAGAATATGCCTATGGACAGGTAATACTGCTTCCAGACAATCTCTCGTCGCATTCGAGGAGGCTTATAAACGTTCACGAATTCCATAATCACAGAGCGACCGAACAACTTTATTATTACAGTTTCACTTCGCTTCATTTCTAACGCAAACGTGTGACCGTTCCGTCTGACTACTTATCTACCTAAATGATACTAAAATACCGCGCCGCCCACCAGAATCCGAACCTTTGTCTAGAGAGGAGATGGTATAATCCAGGGTATTGTACAGCGAAACCATATTTAACGACCGCGCAGATGCAATGACCACCAGAGATAACACCATGCCATGACGAGATGCAGTACGAGAGATGATCGCCCCACATCCCAACCAACCAACTTCCAGACCAGGCAGCCCAACTAGGCCTAACCACCTGCCATTACACAGACGCCAGACCCACCCAGCCTACCAGCTCCATCGCTGATTGCGGGATATCGTTTCGTTTCGCTGGAAGAAAGAAGACCCTGGATAAAAACGCCGTCGCTGAAAAACGTAGAAGCGACTTTAGAGATAAAATATCGATGCCCAGCCACGCCACTAGAAGTATTACCCTCCAGGCGGCGCGGGGGCTGTTTTGAGAAATTCTTTTTGTTCGGCCGTCGCAGTAAATCGAGTAAAAAAGTGTACGATCGAAATGCCAAAAGGCAGTAAATCTGAGAATAGAAGAGAAGCTGAGGTTGATCGCTCAAGCAGCGACCTCAGTAGCGGGTGCACGACCACCACCAACAAGCTCGAGGATCTTGCCAGCGACGGCAGCAGGGTAGCCACGAGACAGACCCTCGTTGACAACTGTCATAGCAGCTGCGCGGTCCTCGACGGCCATGTAGGCACGAGTCATGGCCTCGTAAGTGCTGGGCTCACGCCTGCTCTCGGACACAGATTCGTAGATGGTCTTAGCCTTCTCTATATTGTGAGCAAGAGCCCATCCATGGATGAGAGAGTTGGCAATGTAAGGAGTCATCTCAACGCCACGAGCACGCATGTCGCGGAGGACATCCTCAGTATCAGCAATCTGATGGTTGGCAACCATGGCCTCGAAGAGTGCTTGGTAGAGGCAGGCCTGAGGACGAACACGGCTGTCGGCAAGGACAGTGTCGAAAAGACGACGGGCACCCTCCATGTCGTGCATGACGCAACCCTTGGCATGTATCAACGAGGAATAGTGAACAGCTTCTGGGACAGCACCGGCGGCCTTGACTTGCTCAAGAACCTTCTCTGCAGCCTCCATATCGACAGGCTCAAGCGTAGCGTAGGTATCGATGAGAAGCTTGTACGTGTGGGTGGTAGGCTCGATGCGCTTAGCACGCATACGCTCGTAATAGCTGAGGACCTTGCTGCGATCACGCTTGGTCGTCAAGAAGAACTGCATCATGCTGTGGTAAGGAGCAGGACGAGGCTTGTAGTTGGGCATGCTCTCCATCTCTTCAAACAATTCCTCAGCGAACTTCTCGTCACTGACACGGCAAAGAGCGTTGACAATGGTACCGTAGGTAACAGAAGTAGGGCGGATGCCGAGGTTGCGCATCTCTGAGAAATAGAAGAGGCAGTCCTCGATGCGTCGTGCCTTTCCGAGTTTGCCAATGAGAGCATTGTACAAGAAGGAAGAAGGCTCAACACCCTCAGACTTAGCACGAAGGAAGATTTTGACTGCCTCGGTCGCCTCATCGAAAGTCTTAGTGGACTCCTTGAGCGTAGTGATGTATAGACCAAAGGTGTTGGCAGTCGGGGCGGCACCCATCTCAAGCAGATCCTGGTGGTATCTCCCTGCGAGATCACGCTGGTTGCAAGTAAGGCAAGCAGCGACCATAGCGTCCAAGATGGTAACCCAGCCGTATCGCACAATGCGGTACTGAGGCAGGAGAGGGACATCCTGTTTGGCAAGGTTTAGGATATCATGAGCCAGAGTCAGGCGGTCTTCTTTGGCAGCGGCAGTGATGAGCTTAGCATATGTGAAGAACCGAGGGTGGCGGCCAGCTCGGCGCATGTTCCTGAACTTCATCAAAGCCTCGTTGAGGTGAGACGATGATCGTCCATGGGTCTTCTCCAGTAGTTCAGTGATGGCAACGGAGCCCTTGTTGTCGGTGGATGCAGCGTAAGGGTCATATTGATCCTCGAAAGTGGGA